CTACTGTGGTTGATGGCAACAAGGAGATTGCACAGGCACTTTTATTTTTTAATATCTGAAAAAAAGTGGTATAATTTAGTAATATTTCATGTCACAATGTTCTGACCATCAACTGAAACCCTCAGCTTGTGTTGGCCTTCAGTAATGGTGATTCTTTGTCATTGAGATAAATGATTTTAGAAATGTTCTGACCTGAGGGGAGAGAGGAAAAAAGTCATTATTCCTTTAATACATGTATAACCTCGCATTTGACTTAGTCAGCAGTAAGTGATGGATGTCAAAACATGGCCAGAGTATAATACATGCAGCATCCCTGATTTAATGTGCTTACTTGTCAGTCTGAGGATAGCAAGGAATGTCAGGTCAATTTGATTTCAGTCTTGTGTCACTTATTTTCTATTTCATGGCTCCATACCATACTTTTTATTGTGTGTGTGTGTGTTTAAAACGTTTGTGTCCATGCACACGCAATCTAAGGGGAACAAAACAAGCAGTATGTCACATCTGTTATATATAGCCTAATATTGGACTTTGTGAAGAACACAGTAACATCGCACTCAGCAGCTTTAGGTTTTACCAGTGGCCAGGAATGACTGAAGTAGCCCCAGCATATTACTTCTGCTGCTATGTGTGTTTGTAGCCTCTAATGAAATAATGAATATTGCATTAACATAGCATTTGCTAATGTTATGTGTCCATTCAGGCTTCACACCACCAGGGATGGACAGATCGTCTCCTGAAAACAGCCCAGTCCATGGACTAGTAAGGCAGACTTCTGTCACAACTGGAGCAAATATTCCCATCATAACAGAACTAGGTACGCTCGCTGCTGCATATTTGTGCACGGTGACTGATATGCTAGCTCTACTGTTGCATGTTCTTTCTAGTTAAGTAGTTGTAAACAGATCTGAAAGCATAATTTCAGCAATTAGAGGCTGTCAACATTTGATTAACTGTACTAAAAGTGGAGATTTTATGCTTTTTTGTCCCTTGCTGACATGCTCCAGTAACTGTTTTTCCTCAACACTTGTCTAGCACCATTAGCAAAGCCAGGCAAAACACTGCCTGTGATTTCATTCAGTCAGAATAAAAGCAGTGGGACCAGCATACAAATGATAACTGAGCTGGGTAAGAAGTGCCTCTGTCCTGTACTGCAGTGTTGTAACTACTGCTGCCTCCGTATCAGCTTTCTTTTGATTTCTCTTGCTGCACAAGAGGCTCAGTCCATTCCCATGGCATCACTCTGAGCACATTTTACCCTTGGTTCTGGTTGAAATTGCCCGTCTTGCTTTTGCCCCTTATCTCAAAGAAAAATTTTCCCTTTTATTTTTCTAAGAATTACAAAGCCTTTGATCCGCCAGAAGTCCTTGTGGCTGTTTTCATAGCATCTTCTGTCGGATCACATTCTCTAGCCCATGCCCTTCTTTCATCTCAGCTCTGTCAATATGGCTGACATTTATTTCTGTTCTCACAGAAGCAGCAGTTCTCCAACTAAATTTTACATCATTACTTTCTTCCAGCTACTGCATGTGTTTTTGTGCTCAAAGACATTTCAAAGAAGGTTCTGGGGCAATGAGATACTTTCATTTGTTTTGACATGCACATACTAGTAACTGGAAGTTCCGTCTTGGATTTACAAGGCAAACAATGGCATATTGGTGCTACGGATATTGACCTCAGGAAGACTTTGAATTAAGTCCCGGAGCTTTGACAATATGCATGGTGTCATGAGTGTGCATGAATGGCCTGGATATGGAATGTGGCAGAGGCAAGTTGGCCACAAGGCCGACCACAAATACCAGACATGGTTTCATTTCAGTTACTTGAACAAAGCTACTATTTTGTGCAAATTTGGCTCAGAAAACCTAAGAAGAATTTATTGAATCATAGAGAATTTTCTAATACAGTCCATATCTGCAGCTACTGATTGTTATGCACAACCACGGTACTTTTGTGTCATCCTCACATCAATCAGGTATTTGCCTGGTGTATTGCTTAACCTCATGACCAAATGTTCTTTTTACTCAAATAATTCGACATCTGGTTATAGTGTGCTAAAACATACAAGCAGAGTTTTATTTACTAATGTACATGTTTACACCAACAGTGAATGACTCCAGTGTTCAGTTCCTGGACCAAGATGATGATGACGACCCAGACACAGAGTTATACCTCACTCAGCCTTTCGCCTGTGGGACAGCCTTCGCAGTCAGTGTGCTGGATTCTCTAATGAGCGCTGTAAGTCACAATCTATTTAGTTTACAGACATATCAGCAGATATAAAGAGCTTATTGTAGAGGCTTTTGTGCAGTGACATAATATCTGTCAGTGACCTGAAATATGCAAAGAAATATTGTTTTGATATCACAAAAGATATCAAATAAAAATATGGTCCCCCCTAAAACGTAGGCACACTCTGCTCCTGTTAAAACAATAGATTACAAGACTGGAACTTGCACCAGGTATG